CAGTGGGGAAAGTGGGCATCCCTGTCTGGTTCCGTTTGACATAGAAAAGGTCTCTGATCTCTCTCCGTTTACGATTACCATCGCGGCCGGTCCTCCATACAACTTTCCAATCCACTTTCTCATCCTACTACCCAATCCCAGGATCTCCAGTGTGTCTAACATAAAGCTCCAGTTAACCTTATCGAACGCCTTCTCCGCATCTATCGAGAGCAACACTACTGGGTTTTTTTTCCGTTTTACTTTTCTGTATAAGCATCAGGGATCTCAACCCATTATGTCGACCCTCCCTTCCTCTAACAAAGCCCACCTGATCTCCATGTATCCAATCTGGCATCAGATCTCTTAACCTATTCGCCAATACTTTTGCATACAACTTCGTGTCTACGTTCAATAGCGATATCGGTCTATAACTTGAACAATGTGTGATGTCTTTACCTTCCTTATATATTAAGACCACCTGTGCCAGAAGGGATTCCTGTCTTATCTCCATCTCTCCCCCCAACGCCTCCATATATCTCTTTAACTTGGGTATCAGTAAATCTCCATATTTTTTATAATATCTCACGGTATACCCGTCTGGACCTGGGCTTTTTCCCGTCTTAAAGCTTTTCAATGCTACTTTTAGTTCTTCCTGTGTGATTTCAGATTCTAAGGAGTTTACTAGTTCTTCACTTAATTTTGGTAATCCTGCATTTCTTAAATAATCCCTTCTTTTTTCAATATTTATCATTTTATCTTTATTTATATCATCCTTGGGGGCAATATTATATAATTTACTGTAGTAATCTTTAAATACCTTTGCAATGTCTTTGGTTGAATGGACTAACTCTCCCTTGGAGTTTTTTATTTTATCTATATAGTTCCTATTCTTCTTTCTCCTCAGGGCTCTCATCAGATATTTTCCTGATCTATCTTCCCATCTATATCTTTCACCAATGATCTTATTAAAAGTTCTAATTTTTTCTTCCTCCATTACCTTCTCTAATTCTTCCCTCTTTTTTATCACTCTTTGCTCTATCTCTTTCCTTATGTTATTTTTATGTAGGAGTTCCATCTCAGCTATTTCCTTCAAAAGCCCACTGATCTTCTCTCGTCTTTCCCTTTTTTTCTTCGCCCCAATCGCAATAAGGACTTTCCTGAGGAAGTCACGAGGTCAAGTGACGCAACGCGTCGACAGCATAACGTGGTGACGCACTTCCGGCGCGGCGCCATCTTGGAACACCCCTTCAGCCACACGCTTACACCCATGGTATGGGTATCAGCTTGTATTTCATCTGGCGAATGTGAGTGTACACAATTATTTCATTTTATCTTATTTAAAACGATTTTACACTATGGAGGATGTCTTCTGCTTCCTTTGTCCTATTGGGGTTTGAGCTGGGATTCACCCTGCTCAGCTGACCTCTGAGGATATCATAGGAGAGGTGGAAGCAGTATACTGGGGACACAACATTGAAGCCATCCGCTCAAGAGGAAGCTTATTCTGATACAGTGGGGATATATAAAGCTCTGTGGCCCTGCAGGGTCGCAGGGAGGAGGTGAGAGGCCATTCCAGCCGTTTTTGGGATTGCACTTGGTGGTGTGCGGGTCTACACATAGTCCATGGATTCTGTATGAGTGGAGGAATTGACACAGGATCACTGGACTTTTATTTATTTTATGTGCACTGTGTGCAGGGGTGCACAATTGTTTCATTTCATTCTTTATATTTTTTAGTTTTTTCACGCACTAATTTGTTCTTTCCATATATATATATGATCCCATCATGATGTCAGATTGTTCATGGGCCTGATATGATCGTTTTTGGTTTAGCGCTACATCATTTCTAGTTATATATTTTTGTTAGATCTTTGGGTATTGGATCAGATGTTAGCAGCTTTACATGTCCATTAATTGCTTTCTTTCTGCATAAGAGCGCAAGAGATTTTGTATATTATTTTGACATTTCCTCTTATATATGCTTTATGTGCCTCCCACACTGTAGCTAGTGATACATCCCCTGTTTCATTTTCCTCAAAGAACCTCTCTATTTCCTCCCTGATCTTCCGGTCAGTATCTGGATCCATGAGGAGTGTCTCATTCAACCTCCATGATAGGCCTCCTGACACCTTCCCTCCCCATCTTAATTCCAATACTACAGGTGCATTTGGTGGTCCGAGAAAGTCATTGCTTCTATTTTTACTTTAACCAGATCCTCAACAAGTTGATGGTCCACCAAAATATAATACAATCTAGAGTATGTCTTATGTACACTAGAGAAAAAAGGTGTAATCTTTATCTCTCATATTAACAATTCTCCAGCTATCCACCAATTGGCACTCTTTCATCACCGTTTTCAATAATCCCATGGACCTATTTTCCCCTCTCTGTACTCTAGATGTTGTATCTATTTGTGGATCCATACATATGTTAAAGTCTCCCACCACTATTAGATATCCCTTTCCAAAGTCCATCAATCTTCTCATAACCCCTTTCAAAAACATCTCTGGCTTCTTATTAGGGCAATATATGTTTACAAGCGTACATTCTATGTCCTGTAGTTTACCTTTCAAGAACAGAAACCTCCCCTCCGGGTCCGTCTTTCTATCTTCCAGTTCAAATCTAATATTTTTTTTGCAAATCCTATAGCTACACCTTTAGCTCTCTTAACTGGGGAATCTGCGTAATACCATGTCGGGTGTTGTCTAGAGTTTTAACTTGATATTTTTTTTTAACTCTAGATGTGTTTCCTGCAAAAAAACAACTGAGGCCTCTCTATGTTGTAGTTCTCTATATAGTCTAAATCTTTTACCTGGGCAATTTAATCCATTTACATTATGGGTTACAAAGCGTATTTCCTCCATATTTTATTTGTCTTCTTCCTATTTTACCCTTTCCTTTCCTCTTCCCCTTCCCCATACCTCTCCTTTCATACAAGATGTCAGTTTTAAAAACCTCTATCCCCACTCCCACCCCAATTCTCTCCCTCCCCTCCACCCCCCTCCCCCTCCATCCCCCTCCCCCTCACTCCCCCCCCAGGCCTCCTTTGCCTTTGGATCATGATCCTCCACTGATCCCTCCCTAGGGGTTCGGCTCCACCCATGACCGCTCACCTTCCCCCCCTCCTCCCCGGTGTCTCCTTATCTATTAACTCTCTGTTTCCTCTTCTGACCAGCTGCCACTTTCCTTCCCCAAAAGTACATAACTCTCCCTCCTCAACTTCCCAACCCGGTATCACTATTCTCTGCAGACCAAGTTTATCACAAAAGTCTTCCATATCTTCTGGGAATCTTAATATTGCTGTGATTCCATCTCTCCAACCGATTAAACTCACTGCACGACCCCATCTATATTTCACATTATGCTTTTTCATCAATTCTAATAGGGGTTTCAGTGATCTCTTTCTTCTCAGAGTCTCTGCTGTTAGATCTGCAAAAATTTTAATATCTTTTCCACCATATGCAATACTTGTTCTTCCTTTGATCTTTTTCCATATCTCTTCTTTATCTACAAAATCATGGAATTTAACAATTATATCTCTTGGTTTTTCTAATCTTTTTTCTTGTTGATATTTTCTTGTCCTATAGACTCCATCCAATTTAAACGTCTCCACGTCTGGTTTCTCCATTATGGAACTCAAAATTTTGTCGATTAGTTCTTTTAAATCTTCCCCCTTTGCCAACTCTGGGACTCCTCTTACTCTAAGATTATTTCTCCTTTCTCTGTTTTCTTGTTCTTCCATCATAAAGAGCAATCTTTTCTGTTCTTTTCTATCTTCTTTTATCCATTTCTCTAATTTTGGGACAACTTGGGAATGAATTTGAACCTTTTCCTCTATTTCCTCCACCCTAGTTAACATTTGCTGCAATTCCTCCCGAATTGTCCCCATCTCTTGCTTTATTGATTTTTCCAGATTTTTGAACATCTCCACCATTTCCTTTTTATTAGGTATTTGCAGATCTCTTTCAAATTCTCTTGATTCAGTCCCTTCCTTTAATTGTTGACTATTATATACCGGTCCCAGGGATAGTCTCGGGCTGTTATCCAGACTTATTTCCAATTCACTTTTTTCACTTACCCCCAACGTTCTTTCTGGAGTCAAATTTCCCTGTGATACATACTTTTTAATCGTACTAGATTGGGAGCTCTTAGACCCACTCCCTTTAGTATTTTTTCCTTTCATGTTGATTTTTAATGCTTTACTTTTATTTTCGGAACTCCTCTTTCACTCCTCCAGGTCTTCAGACCCTCCCTAGGAATCCCCTATATCCTTATTTCAGACTCAATGTTTGATAAAATGTCTTTTTTAGAGGCACCAGGAGATCCAATATAAATCAGGTTCAAGAGCATAAGTCCAGTTTATAGATAATGCATAAAGAGTTGCAAAAACCCCACAGATATCACAGTTATCACTCACCCTCCATGTTGGAGTGTCTTCCTCAATGTAGTCCTCTCCTGTAGCCGTGCTCTCTTAGGGGGATTCCTATGGGTCTCTCTTTATATATATGTATATGAATGATGTATACGATGCCGATATAACAGTTGGAGGATTTGAGGGGATTTGAAGTTGGGGGTGGTGTAGTTTGGAGGTAGTGTGGCTGCATTCCCCCCACCTCCACCAATTCACCAGCTCACCCAGACGCCAAGTGCTGAGGGTCAAGCTGACAGGCAGTCTCTCCTCTCCTTCTCCTGAAGCTCCCCAGGGCTCCTTCGCGGCTGCCCACGTGTCTTCACCGCTGCGCCGCTCCGTCCGTCTCCCTGGCAACCCTGCTTCTGCTCCTCCTCTGCAGCTGCTGTGAGGATTCCCAGGGAACCCCCCAATCGTCACTCTCCGGGATCCTGCCAGGCTCCAGGCTCACCACCAAGGCTTCCCTCTTCTTCCACCGGGTGAGTCTCCGCTCACCCTCCGGTGCCGCTGGTCTCTCTGAGAGAGACACCTAGGGAGGATATTCGGGGGAGGCTATCGAGGAGTGCTTACAGCACACTCTCCCGTGCCTCCATGTTCAGGCTCCACCCGCTAGGCACACAGTTACCCTTTGATTGCCCTAGATGTTTTTAACCCCTTCCCAGCCAGTGTTATTGATACAATGACAGTGTATATTGTTAGCACTGATCACTGTTTTAGTGTCACTGGTTCCCACAAAGTATCAGTTTGTTCCAGACAGTCCAACGCAATATCACAGTCCTGCTATAATTCACTGATCGCCATCATTACTAGTTTTTTTAAAAAAAAATTCCAGTACATATACCTTAGTTTTTACATGCTATAGCTATTTTGGCAGATTTTTTTTTAACAATGTCAGTTAGTGTCATTGTGTTTAAGGTAGGATAAAAAAAGCAAAAAGTGCACTATTATTTTAGGGCTGCACTATGGGTACAAACAACAACTAACATATACATATGTGGAAATCGCTGCAATCAACAGGAGCAGGAAAATTTATTTTGGGTTGTTCTTTGTTGGTCGGTTAGGGCAATAGCATGTAATACACAGTTATATTTTTAAAAAAGAAAAAATTTTTTTATTTTAGGCCAGTTTTTCTTTGATAAAAAAAAAATCAGGAGATATCCATTACCATGTACCACCAAATGAAAGCCAAACTTGTCCTGAAAAAAACAAGGTATAATCCACCTGGATGCACAAAGTAGTTGTGATGATATGTATGGTTTTACTAACACAAGTCAAAGTTGCAAGATTGTGCTTAGGCATTAATATTTGTTTTACTAATGCATAGTGTGAAGCTCACAGTGTGCAGTGAAATCAGAGTAAGCACTTTCAGTACAGCAGAGAGAGATTTACAACTGTGCAAGACAGGAGGTGAGGATGAACTTCAAAATGCTTGTTTTTTTCTGTACTTTCACCTACAGTTTTTATGTTGGTGACAAGTTTCTTTAAGAAGAGCATTAAGTTGAAAAGAGGGAGAATGGCGAGAGCGTAGGGGGGCCATGGTATGGTCTGGTGAGAATCAACTGGGGAGAGCAGTTCTTAGGCCCCACAAGAAACAAAACCTAGCGTTGGTCCCCTGAAGAAATCTACTAGTAATCAATGGACGTCTGGGCAGATATACAGTATAATAAAATAAGAAACAGAGCTTCAAAGCAAATTCAGGATACAAAACTATTATCATTTCCTATAATAAAATCATGCATTTTATAACACAGGATGCACAACTGCAAAGTAAATGTTAATTCCCCAAGCACAGCAGTTGAAATAATTGAGAATTGAGTTTTGTAGGCAAAGAGGTTTTGAACAATGAGTGAAAGATAACACCTGCAGTTGCGTTAATACCAATTTCACAGCAAGGTTTAACATTTCACAGAGTGTCATGGGAATTATTCTCAGCACAGTGAAGAAATCAGGGCTAAATATACAAGAAAGTGGACTCTACAGCAGGCTATGCTCGGCAGTACTTAAGTCTCACATTACCATTTTCCCATGGACTGAATCTTCTTGATGTCTTAGCAATAGGCGTATCAGTAATAAATTACTCAAATGGCTCCCTAGGTGCCCAACCAACTGTAAAAAGTGGATCACTAATAGATTGTAATAATGTTGTAGTAATTTGTTGTCTGCAGGATACTTTTTGTTTGTTTTTCCATTGAAGCAATTAAAAAGTATCCATTATAATATTCTCTAAAACTCCAGTTTTAAGCAAAGAATAATAATTTTCAGGTCAGCTATGTGCATTGTAAAAATATTAGCAACTGCCTCTCCCATTGCCTGTCAGAGCAAAATGGACAAATTAGGTTGGGCTAGTACATGAATTTAGTTCTGTGCCCTAAATAAGAAAAGAACAGGTTCACTTCAACTTCGAATCCCCAAGGGCCCCTTTGGACATTTGCTGTCTGTTGTTGTGCTTTACTTGCATTATTGTGGTGCTAACCTGCATTGAGGCAACTCATCCACTCAACACATGGCCATGGACCAATGACTGTTTTTAAACAGCAGACCACAACATACAACATGTGCATTGTGGTGTACTGCAGTGTGAGTATGTTTTAGACTACTATACTTGTGCATTTGGTGCCATTATAAATTAAATACAATGAACATCATCTTTTACTAGACGTTTGTCATTTGGTAGAACCTGGTCCAGAGTTTGTGTACTTGGGGACAGCAACTTTAGATGTGTAGAATGATTCTTGGCTGGTTGCTATTCTCAGTTTTCTTTTCTGGTTGGTACTTGGTACCATTGAAGCTTCAAGTTATAATTTGATATAATTGGGCCTTTCTATAGACATTGGTGAAGAACTAGTCTTATGTATCTCAATATATAGATATTAGTAGAACATAGTTGAAAGTCTATAGACAGTGGCACCAAATGTGTAGAAAGGAAGCTATAGAAAAGGTTTGCTATTTTGGGTTGGTACTAGGTCATCATGAGTTTATAATTTGTATAATTGGGCCTTTCTATAGATGTTGGTGAAGAACTATATGTATCTTATATATCTTAATATATAGATATTAGTAGAATGTAGTCTGGAGTCTATAGGCAGTGGCACCAAATGTGTAGAAAGGCTCCAACCTGGTTGCAACATCTAAACCAAGTGGATTGGTAGCTGTAGAAAATGTGTGCTGTTTTGGTTGCTACTAGGTCCATCAAAGTATGAGTTTATAATTTGTTTCAACCTCATAAAATTTTAGTGAGTCTTAATTGATAATCATATGTCTTATCAATCATCCTCTAATACAGGGTCCTATTTTTGCAATATAAGGTGGCGGAGTTGAAGATAGTGGAGTAGAGTAGAAAAATTAAGCCTGGGGTATATGGATTCCTGAGGAATTTTAGTTTAAAAGAGGTGAAAGACCATCACGAGTTGAAAGTTTTGGTGGTCTGAGAAATATAATTTTCATTTTGTAGATACCTGAAAAACTCGAAGGATGGAACGTTAAAATCCTCTTGGATGGAATTAAAGGTATTGATTCCATTACCTATGTAATTTATAGAGCATGTTAGTCTTGAGTTGGTACCATGGTTTAAAACTAACTGTTGAATTAAAGCATGGTAATAAAAAAGGGTTTCCTAGACAAATTTGGAGGAGGAGGTGTAGAGACAATAATTCTCCTGAAAATTGAATACCTTCCCAACCCATAAGGGAATAGACTATTTTTGGATTATTTTTTGATCAGTTGAAGATACATGACCGAACTATAATGCCATGCACTCAATCAGTTCTGCTTCCAGACTTATCCACAGTAGGACTTGGACAACTGGACTATTTGTGCTACCATCTAGTAGAGAGATGTGGTGCACCCAGAATGCTTCTGGATATGAACAAATATAAAGTGTGGTTCAGGGTCCTTGGCCTTTGATGACCCCAAATACAATTTTGTAAGCATCTTAGAATGTGTTCTGGAATATTGATGGTTAGCGATCTGAAGTAGTATCGTGTTACTTTTATTTCAAAATACTTACTTTTTAAGCTAAGTGAACATTTATTTTGGTAAGTGAATATTTTAGCTCCTTTAGCAGACTACCCCTTGTTATATACAATTTGCAGCTGTAAGTTTGGAATTCTTTCATAATGGTTATAAGCCCACATAGACACAACATTCTGCAGTGAAGGTTGCATCTGGATTTCTTCCACTGAATGTGCTTGGCTCCCCATTTCACGTTAAGTGCCCATCCCTTTAACTGTCTTTATTTGCTTTCCAGAGACTGGCAGAGGGCTTTTCCAGGACTTGGCAGAATGCCGTGGAAGGAAGCATGCAGAGACACAGTATGTGAGCTGGGTGCAGGATTTGGCACATTATGTGGTAAGATTGGCACATTATGTGGTGGGACTAGCACAGTCAGACTTATTCAATATACTAGTACAAAGAGCAATGAGGTCTGCAAAAGGAAGTAACAATGGAAATGATCAAAAACATTTCTTAAAGTATCACCATCAAAACTTTGGTTTTTTTTAGTTTTGGATAGTGCATGGTCAGGTGTTTAAACTCTGTTAGAGAGATCTCGCTTTACTTACTGACAATGATTATAGCAGACTGGAAGTGACCAAAAATCTGCAAGAGCAACACAGTCAGCAATAAAAAATAATGTTCTAAGTAGAGTAGAGAGTTTGCTCTTGATGTCCCTGTTCCTTCCTGTCTGGTAAAACATTGTCTCCATGATAGTATGGCCTTCTTTACACTGGCAGTTGAGGGGTGAGAAATATGTGTGGTTGAACTGTGTTTTTATGGCCTTCAAACTGTTCCCTTTGAGCTGCAAAGGCAGCAGATGAGGTGTACACATGCCATAGGTGTGATACTTCAGCAGTATGGCACAGCAAACATTATCTTCCCTGTTGTATTCAGAGGGCAGCACTGTCTACCCCATTCAACTGAATAGGGCTGTGTCGCAAATGCCCTACAACTGCATTCAATGCATTTGGTTGTGGAAAGATGGTGCAGGTTTTTAGGAGTTAAATTAGGGGTGAGGAGGCAACATATCACCTCTTCACAGTCTGTCAAACACCTTCTGAAGAATGATCCTTTGTGGATTGATCTTCTGCGGGCACCACAAGTGTAAAGGACCTCTTTCGCACAGCCATTTTCATGAGATCTGCCTGTGAGTTTTTCAGAATGATCTGAATGGAAATTCAGTGTTATGTGTCCATTTACATTCAATTACCTCAGAATCTATCTAGGTCCTAAAAAAGGTTTTCATCCTTTTCCATTTTATTCAGTTCTAAATGTGACGAATCAGAAGTTAAAGAATGTAGACAGATGCACATTCGTTTACACCCGCCTGCCAATAGACCTAACGTGGGTCCATTAGGCTCCATTTTTTTTCCTTCATTGATGGAAAACGGACATGGATGTCACGAAAGTGAATGAATCCTCTGCTGATCAGAACAGACTCTGTCCATGTGAAAGGACCCTGAGCCAGTGTTCACATATATGTGGTGCGGTATATCGCATGTGATTCACACAGGAACTGCACTGCATTCCTGTACAAATCACATGCGATTTGTGTGCGGTGCGATTGCAGCCATACATTATGTATGGTTCTAATCGCACCGCACTCCCACACCAAAAACGTGCAGGATCCTTTTTTTGGTCCGCACTAGAATCAAATCGCATGGGTATTCACACCTATGCAATCTGGTTCTGTGCATCGCACTGCGTTTTGCGGACTGCTTTCGGGGTGTTGTTAACATACACACCTGCAGCGGTTCGCATGAACGGGGTGCGTTTCTGATGCGGTGCGGAATTCACACA